TTGGATTGCCTCTTTTCTTTCTGTTCTTCTTTTAAAAGAAAGCCATGATATGATGGATGCACCACAGTCATGAGTCATGACCAGAGCACGATGCTCTTGAAGAAACAGGTTGATGGGTCGCACCATGAATAGAGTAGGGATGATCACAGACTAGGCTGGGCCGTGCCAAGCCAGGTTTTTACAGGATATCAACAGCATTAAGGCCTGGCCTGGCCCGGCCCGCATCCCTGGACCTAATATTACATGTCCAGGCAAGGTCCAATGGATTATGCTTCTTTTTTTTAATAGAATAACACGTACGTACATTTCCATTGGATTTTTTTTAGGAATACTAGTAAACATGTACGTGCATTTGCACGTGATAGTATCTTCAAGATAAAACTATTTACAATTCATGGACAGTTTTTGAACAGTTATAAGTGGGCAGTTTCTTAACTATTATAAGTTGACAATTTTTGAAGTGAGAGTAAAGGACATATACACCCTCTTTATGCACGTTGTATGCTATCTAGAAAGACTTCGGATCTCCTGCCCATGAGAAATCTATCCACGTCTTCCCACAACACACTACCCCCGTGAATTGGGAACATCTCCCCTTGCATATATAGCGGCTGTTTGGCATCGTTGCCATTTCCTGGAGCAACGACGCCACATCAGCACCACATCGGAAAAAATGGTGCTCCAGGAAACGGGCATTTGTTTGGAACTGTTTTTCCATAAAAAACGGTGCTCCAAGCCATGCCTCGGAAACCAGGAAGCCATGGCTTGGAGCAACGCCAAATTAGGCATTTCCTAGAGCTGCAACTCGTTGCTGCCAACAGGGCAGTGATGTGGCATAGAATAATGGGTATCAGTTGTGAAAATGTTTTCTGGAGCAATGGTACCAAACAAAAAAAGTTTCTGTTGCTTCAGGAAATGTCCTACTTAGCAGCAACGATTCCAAACAACAATAAAGGCACCCTTTTCTGAGAAAACGGTGCTCCAAGCCACATATCAGCAGCATTGTTTTCTTAGAAAACGGTGCTGCAACTGCAGCATCGATGCCAAACATATACATGATACTATATAGGAGGATGAGATGTTCTCCATGTGTGGCTGCAATGTTGTGTGAGTAGACGTGGGTAGAGTTTGTGTGGGCAGGAGATCCGGTCTCATTTAGATAAGGGATAAAAAAATGTCCAATGAAAATTCCAGAGAAAAGGGACATTCACTCTTTTATAGTTAGTATTTATAGATTCGATCGGATTTGATCCCAAATGGGACTCAAATTGGATTTAGATTAAATTATTCAAATCCGCTAGCTTTATCATCTATAAAATCCAGAAAGATTAAAATTTGAAAAATAAATACTTTTTAACTCATACATATAAAAAAATTTCAATAGATGAATCTAGGATGTTAATCGGATTGGATGGGAATATGGGATTAAATCCACATCTGATCCGGTCAAATGGACATAGATTGTACATTTGATGTGGATTTATCCATCTTTAATTTACATTAGCAGGGAACCGTGCGATGCACGGGATTTGTTAAAGAAAGCTAAATAATAAAACACATAAGAGTATACAATTGTTTTATATTTCTAACTTTTTACAAAATGATTAATTATTTATATTTTATAATACTTTTAATAACTTTTTACAATACAAAAATAACAATAATCTATTTCAATTAAGCTTGTTCGTCGAACTGATGAAACCAACCAACCCGACCAACTTGACCTGAATTGCTCAATTTCTAATATTTCCGGTTGAAATTGGGATCAATTTCGCTGTGGCCATTTGTAAATTGACCAAAATCAAATGACCCAATCATAAATATATATATATATATTAATATTTTTATATTTTAAATATAATTTTTTAATACAAGAAAGTGGGAAAATTCTCATATTTCTTAGTCTTAAATACTTTATATTATAAATTTAATTTTTAATAATATTAATGTAATTTTTAAAATTTAAAATTAAGTTTTCAATATAATCTTTTAAACCAATTGAGCAAACCGAAAATCAACCCAAACCAATACAACCCGATTTAGTTGCTTTTCACTAATGGTCAATAGATTTAGGGTAACCAACTCCCCAACCTGACCATGTCAATTTGGTTGGCCAAATAGCCTACAACCAAACTAAACTAGGTCGTGATTAACACTCCTAATTTTATCTAAATTAATATTTTAATATCTAATAAATAAACATAGCTTAATATCCAATAATTATTAAAAATTTATAGCGAAAATGCACAATAATTGAAAATATATTGATAATAAAAATAAAATAATTGCAATAATCACAAAAATACTAAAAATACTAAAAAACATATATTAAGTCAATAAATAAATATTGTAATCTCAAATAATAGTTTAATCTCTAATAAATATCAATGAATAAAGTGCAACAAAAATACAGTAAATACAATAAGTATAATAAATTTAATTTAAAAAGTTAAATAATAGTAGTTTAATATCCAAGAATTATTAATTTTTTTAAAACAAATATAGACTTATACATAATTATTGTAAATATATTTGTCAAAAAACTATAAATAATTTCTGAAAATACAATAAATATTAATTTTAGTATATTAAATATATAATAAATATAGATTAAGATTTTAAAATCATTATCAATGAATATTATTTTTTTGAAAATTATTTTTCTAGAATTATTAGTTGATATAAGTGAAATTGGTTATTGAAAATATTATTTAGTTATTTAAATTTTATAATTTTAATTATTAATTGAATTTAATAATCTATAAAATTATAATTCATTCTATTATTACATAATTTCATTATAAATTTTGTAAAACTTTAAATTATTATTAATTTTAATATTATGCAATGATTTTTTTTTATTTTAAAATTTTTAATTTATTGCATAATTTCGTTACTTTAACTATTTAAAATATAGTTATGTTAAACATTTCGTTATTTAAAATATTTAGTTATTAATATTTAAATAGTATATAAAATATTTTAAAATACTCATTATTTGATTTTAAGATATTAAGTTATTGAAATATTTAAATAATATTTTATTTTTTAATGTTAAATTTCTGTTATTTGAATAACATTTAATTTGAATAATCTGAAAAATCATAATTTATATTGTTAGTACATAATCTCGTGATGAATTTTGTAAAAATATAAAACCATTAGTAATATGAATATTATTAAATCTATTTTAATTATTTTTTGTGTTTTTAATAAATATTTTAAAGTATATACTATGATTACATAATTTCATTATTAATTTTGTAAAAATGTTAAATTATTATTAATTTGAATATTATGTTATGATTTTTTTATTTTATTGCATAATTTCGTTATTTTAACTATTTAAAATATAGTTATGTTAAATGTTTTGTTATTTAAAATACTTAGTTATTTGAATATTTAAGTAATACATAAAATATTTAAAAATATTCATTATTTGAATTTAAGATATTTAATTATTAAAATATTTAAATAATTAAACCTTTTTTTATGTAATTATTTAGCTACTTTTAGTATTTTATTATTTGAGATATTTAGTTATTGAAATATTGAAATAATATTTTATTTTTTTAATGTTACATTTCTATTATTTGAATAACATTTAATTTGAATAATATGGAAAATCATAATTTATATTGTTTGTACATAATTTCGTGATGAATTTTGTAAAAATATAAAACTATTAATAATATGAATATTATTGAATCTATTATAATTATTTTTTGTATTTTTAATAATTATTCTAAAGTCTATACTACTCTTACATAATTTCATTATTAATTTTGTAAAAATATTAAATCATTATTAATTTGAATATTATGTTATGATTTTTTATTTTATTGCATAATTTCGTTATTTTAACTATTTAAAATATAATTATTTTAAATATTTTGTTATTTAAAATATTTAAATAATATATGAAATATTTAGAAATACTCATTATTTGAATTTAAGATATTTAGTTATTGAAATATTGAAATAATATTTTATTTTTAATGTCAAATTTATATTATTTGAATAATCTGGAAAATCATAATATATATTGTTAGTACATAATTTCGTGATGCATTTTGTAAAAGAATAAAACTATTAATAATATGAATATTATTAAATCTACTATAATTATTTTTGTGTTTTTAATAATTATTTTAAAGTTTATACTATTATTACATAATTTTGTAAAAATATTAAATTATTATTTATTTGAATATTATGTTATGATTTTTTTATTTTATTGCATTATTTCGTCATTTTAACTATTTAAAATATCGTTATTTAAATTATTTAGTTATTTTTAAGTATTTAAATAATATATAAAATATTGAAAAGTACTCATTATTTTAATTTAAGATATTTATTTATTTAAATATTTAAGTAATTAAATATTTTTTATATAATTATTTAGCTAGTTTTAATATATTTTATTATTAAAATATTGAAATAATATTTTATTTTTTAATGTTAAATTTGTATTATTTGAATAATCTGGAAAATCATAATTTATATTGTTAGTACATAATTTCGAGATGAATTTTCTACGAATATAAATCTATTAATAATATGAATATTATTAAATCTATTATAATTATTTTTTATGTTTAGTAAATATTTTAAAGTTATTATATAATCTGTTAAAATATTTAAATAATTTTTTAAATTTTAATTTAAACTTTCTTTAGATAGATGTAGATAAAAAGTGGAAAAGAGGATAAATAGGAATTAGAGATAATTTGGAGAGAAATTCTCTAGTAAATTAGAGAATAGTTATGAGATAAATAGGAATTGAAGATTATTTAGAAGAAAGTGGGGGAAGTAGTTTAGGATAAATTTTAGGAGAAAAAATCATTGGGGAAGGAGAGCATCTCATTAGTTATTTAAAAAAATGACATAGAATAAAAAAAATCAAAATAAAAAAATAAAAAAAAAATCTTTGAACGCTTTATTTTAACCAAACACATACAGAGAAATGTACACTCTCTCTCTCTCTCTCTGACCATATATATAATATACATATATATACAAACACTTTGCTCCTCAATTCTCCTCGACTGCGCTATGCCGCCATATATTCATTTTTTTTTCTCCTGAACTTTTTATTGGCACACCACAAACAAGCAAACAAACAAACTGCTACCACAGCACACCACACCACTTCTTCAAGTCTCCCTTATTGGACCAGGTCAGAAGAAGCCAGCAATCTTCCAAAGTTCCAATTACTTGGTCAGAATCTCTTTTTCTGTCTTCAAGCCAGGTGGTCAGAATCTTTCAGATGGATATGAATATTGGCTTAATTAGCTCGTTTAGTTCACAACAGATTCATCAACCTTGGGACTGCATGTCAACACGGCGTCGCCAACAGTGAGAAAGATGTTTTGCTGGCCAATCAAATTTGCGAAGTGGGATGCGTGAAGCTTGTCGATCACCGATTGCCCAGGATTTGCTAGCACAAGCTGTGTAGCAGAGAACAACGTAAAGTTTAATTAATTATATATAATATATTACAACCCTAAAGGCTAAAGCTTCTCTTTTGTGCTTTGTTTGTTAATACGTACGCATGGCATGGTTTACCTGAATATCGTTCTTCTGGAGGCTCTTGTGTAAATCTTCCAACGCATGAATACCACTGGTGTCAATGTCAATAACGGCTGCAATGAAAACAAAATCCTGATGATGAAGATGAGTTGCGAGATAGCTAGCTATTAGCTAATAATTAAGAGAGAAAGGCTTATTGTATGATGGCCGGCTTACGTGAGAGCTCAACGATCAGGAACTGGATTCTTGGCAAACCTCTTGCTTTCAATTCCTCTTCTTCATCAGTCAACCATCTCATAATCCTACAAGATCAACACATACAGTACTGGGTCTTGACTCTTGAATATGCGCTACTAGCTAGCTAGCTAGGTCAGTGTTGTTAAATTAATTAATTCTGTAACAGTAATTATATTCATGGACGAGGTTTCTGATGAACAAGTTTAATTAATTTGTCAAAACCGTATTGAGAATTAATCCAAGGTCCTGCGCACAACTTTGATATATACCTCTCTCTAACATAGTTGGAGTTGGAAAAATAGATTGCAGAATCTACTCTGACGATCAGTATGCCTGGAACCCTGGTTGCTTCTGCATACTGTTGGATGTTCCTGAAGATGGTTGTCCTGGGGAGCTTTCCAAGTAAAGCAATCCGTGGCCTTGTCACTTGCAGGAGTATCTTAGCAAAAGATATGCAGACCTGTTTTAATTTGACAAATTAAATTAGATGCAATAATTTAAAATTTAATTTTAAGTAGTACGTAGATGCAAAGCAAGAAGAGAGCTCAGCTTTGAATAAATCTAATCTAATTAATGGAGTTCAAGTAGTACGTACTACTTACTGCGATTAGGAGGCCAATTTCAACCGAGACGAAAACAACACCAAAGAAGGCACCCATGCAAGCGAGGAAATCCAATTTATCGATCTTCCATATGAGGAGTACAGCCTCAATGTCAACTAGGCCAATCACAGCAGAGATAATGATAGCAGAAAGAATGGCATTTGGGGTGTACTTAAAGAGGGGAGTGATCAATTCCAATGTTAGAAGAACGACGCAGGACATCACTATGTTGGAAACGGCAGTGTGACATCCGGCCATGTAATTCACTGCCGACCGAGAGAAGGAGCCTGCAGCAGCGAGGGAAGAGCAGCTCAGCCCATCACTACTCCACATGTATAGCTAGAGCTTCTGGGTTGCTATATTAATTATATTATTGCAGGTCTTTCTGGGTAAGCAATCGCCAATCGATCAGTCTTATTACCTGTAGCTACATAACAAGAAGTCATTGAGCCAACAATGTTCATTGCTCCTAGTGCCACCATTTCTTTGTTCCCATCAATTTTATAGTCCTTCATGGATGCAAATGTCCTCGCAATTGCCACAGCTTCCTGACCCAGTAAATAAAGAACCAACCAATCAACAATTAATAAAAATAAATTTTCTCATATATATATATATATGCATGTTAGCTAGGTTGAGAAGTGAGGTGCAGAATTGGTTTACCGTCAATGCTATCATCCCAGCCACGATACCAATCTTAGCGCCTTTGGCAAGATTTTTACCGCTGAAATAAATTTCATTCACCGATGACGGGTTGATACCTTTTTTGATATGTTTCACCTTCATACATAGTTAAAAGCAGAAGAGTAGTTGGCAATTGTTCTCATTGATTTTATGATGCAAAATCCATAAAAGAGATCTAAGACAAACTCACTGTGCATGAATTAATTAACTCTATATGTTTACTTACAATTTGAACACCTTTCTTATCCGCACGGAAAATGTAGACGAAGAAAGTGGACAGGACAACAGAGATCAATGGGGCAATTGCTGGCACCCAGAAAAATTTCTTATTCCTCTTTCCCTGTCACCCCTCAGAACATTTAGAAGATTAGAGACCTTCAAACCCATAAATTAATTAAGGAATAGTAGTGACTCTTACGATGTACTTGGTTGCTAGAAGGAAACCCAGGAACGCTGCTCCTATGAGTATAGTCTGCCAGTTCCACTGCATGCACAATGTGGTAATTAATTAATTACATCAGTTTATTAAGACTTTAAGACTAGACTTCCCATGTTACCCGTCAAAAGATAAAAGGAAGTGAGGGAGGAATTGCTTACACCGTGATGTGCAGAGCCAAATACTGAACGCATGACAGAAACGATGTCAGTCTTCTTTGTAAACTTCTGTATTCCAAGAAAACCTTTAAGTTGTTGAAGTGCAATTGTAATGGCAGCTCCACCCATGAATCCAACGATTGCAGCATGAGATAGGAACTCAATCAAGAACCCCAGCCTAAAAACAAAAAAACCGATCGAATTAATCACTAGATTGCCTTACTACAAATGTACGTAACTGAAAATCATATACACATGAAGCAGTCGATCTGGAGGAGAAAACCAAGCAAGAACAAAGATCAACTTTACCAAAATTAGTTAGTTATATATCCCATATGGAATTCAGAACTAAGATAGGATGCAAAGTATTTACCTGAGAAACCCAAGCGCAGCTTCAGTGATCCCTGCGAAAAAGGTAGCTGTGAATGCAAGCCGACGATACTCAACCACATTTTTAGGGTCAATCTCATCCTGGAGCATGGACCCAAGTAAGAGAGACACCACGGCTACTGGCCCAATAGCAATATCTCTTGAGCTCCCCATGATGGCATAGATCAATGGCGGAACAAAGCTGGTGTCTGTAACAAACATCAAACAACACAAATGAGAAATAGCCCTCATACTGGGTCCAAGCAGACATGGTAATTAATTGGATGCAAGCTTTTGAATAACAATGTAATCGAAGACTTACATAGACCATATTGGGGATCCAGATTTGCAAGCTTTGCGTATCCAATATCCTGATTTCCAAGTTAAAAGCAAATCTTAGAATCTTTACAAAGTGGGGATTAAATTGGTTTCCTACCTTTCTATTTTCTTTGTGAAGTAATTGATAGATATATCCATATAAATATATATATATATGTATATATATACCTGAGGAATGCAGAGACTTGCAATGGTGAGTCCTGCAATGAGATCCCCTTTGAATTTACTTAAACTATAGTTCCTTCCCCATTCAAGAATAGGGAAAATAGACTGGAGGCCTAGGATGAACTTCTTGGATCTAGGTTGGTCTTTGAAAGGGCGTAAGGGATTATCTGGGAAGAACGTTTCCTTCACAGCGTCCTTGAATTCCTTCAGCACGTTATTCGGGGATGGCGATCCAACCTTGTGAATGTATGGCAAGTGCTCTCCGTGACGTCTTGAGGATGGTGCACTTTCAATGTCTGTCTTCTTCTCAAAATCTCCATCTGTGGAATGACCCATTAGGATCAGCTTCTAATTATCTATTCACCTGCAATGAAAAACCAGATAATATAATCTTGATCAGAGAAAGGACACAGTGGCTCGTCCTAGTTTAATACTTAATATAGGATAAAAAGCTTGGAAACTGCATGCACTTAAAACAAGAAGACCCTCTTCATCATATTCAATTATAGCAACCCGTGGATCTTGCACCCACTATAAGTTCACAGTTTGAAAAATTGAAGAACCATGATCGGTTGATGGGTTCTGGTTTTCTTTTCCTAGATCTTTCAGAATGAAAATGTTTCCAGTCCAAAACAGAAAATATAAAATATGAATACAAAAGCTTAGAAGAAGTACAGACAGAAACAAACTGAGTTGAGCTGAAATCTTTCTCAGCCGCCTGGACAAACGAAACAGATCGGTGGATGGGACAGGAGCTAACAGAACATGCTTCAGAAGTGTTACACCTCTTCTGTGACAAAAGATAGATGGAACCTCTTGCTTATATAATTCAGTTCTGACAGCAATTCTAGGTCAAACTCCCAATTAGAAGCAAGCTAGCTAGCGAAACTGGCTGTAGCCACAAAGCATGAATCTAGATTCTTTTTCATGACACATACAAGAATGCCAGCAAACCATAATATATAGAGTTAATCATCTCTTACATTATTCTTTTTAATTTACAAATGGGTCTTAAAAATATTATTATCGGCCGAAAGCGTTGACTTTACCGTTCTGATATGAACTGCAGAAATTCTGGGTGTATATATATATATTTTTTTTAATCTTTTTATCTGATCGATCGACATGGAAGCATTGCTAACCTAGCATTTGTCGTGGACTTTTTCTTGCTGCTAGCTCTTTGATGTGATCATGTATATGATAGAATTAATACAGATTTGCTTGATAAAGTTTGAAAGTGCATCCTCAATTTATATATTTGCCCTGAAAAAATATTAAGAAAGAAAGCGTCTATATCAAATCAAATAACCCTTTTTTAATAGTTAATTTATGTCTTTGTATTTATCCATGATTCAATCTTTACATATTGCTTGCCAAACTGCCAAAAGGTTTGCTTCTGCTTCTTATCAAGGCAATAACAAATTTGTGATTCATGACACTGCAATATGCAGTCTCTCAAGGTATGTTCTGGTGGTGGCCGGATCTGCTACCAACAAACCTACCCACAAGGCCAAAAGATTGCTGGCTGCAGCACATCCTGATTCCTGAATATGTTTGGTACTTGTATATATGTTGTTACTGATGGGAACAGGATCCGAATGTGTAGCTGAAGCATCTTGTGGGTAGAGTGTTCTTCCTGAAAGTAGATCTGGGGTCATTTAGGCCTTATAAGGGGGTGTTGGCCAATGTGAATGGTTTTGTTTTCTAAAACAACGAAAAGAAAAACAACTGCAGTCAACTAAAACAAGACATTTGTATTCACATTGGCAAACACCCCCCTAAATTTTGGAAATAGTGGGTGGGTATTTTACTATTTACGAGATGATATCAAAACAACCAATTAATGGCAGGKTTTGTTTTGGGATCGTGAAACAAGCTTAATTATAAGATCCTGTGCTATAGGAAGTGTAAAATGATTCCAACTTTCGAAGAAAACGTCAAGTAGTAGTGGTTGCATTGGCCCAAAAGAAGAGATATATGGACTATTCATCTCTACTTGTGATTAATCTCCTCCTCAGGTGTACTTGTTAATAAAATAATAAGAAGAATGCTGAGGCTACTCGTAAGCTCCATCCTCATACTGCATCATAATACACCAGGAACATATATTATTAATTCAGCAGCTCTGGGGTCTGCTCTGCCGTGTTCAGAAATCTGAACACATCATCATCAACATAGATATTTATATTTATTATTGATTAATAATGTAATTATGAAATTACTAAATAGTTAAAATAGCCCAGACCGCTTAAGGGATTTTGGAGAGTTTGCAACAAGCTAGTTCTTTTGTATAAAACCAATGGACTGGCCCATATTTTTGTTCTTGGAACTACCCTGAAGTTGATGGTAAAGGTAAACCAATCTGGGACTAAGTAACTATATATACAGGTTCCAAGCTACTGGTACACAGAACAGAACTTCTGTTTATGATCATATCATTACATCAAATGCTAGAGCAACACCAAATTTTCTAGGAACCAAAAACTGTACTAATATTGTTTGAATGGATCATTTTCAACTGAAAGCACTTATTTGGATGGATATATAAGAACAAGATCACCAAATTAGCTAGAGAATATTTTACATGTATGGAAAGCTAGCTGCATGTGCCAACATATGTTATGTTCCTTATTTTATTGTTTGAGACTTAGGCTTAAAACTTCAATTATTACCATATCTTTTGGTTTTGGGATCCATTATTATATCTTATGGGATCCTGAACCGTACGTTGTTTCAAATTTTGGATTAGTTGAGTGGTATTTTCATTCATATTGATATTCTAAGTTCCAATTAAGTCGGTGGGTCTCTCCTTGTAAACAATAAACAAGTCATGAACAAGCCACAGATCATTCATTATCTATATTATTACTTATTACCGAATGGGGTCTTTTCTCTTTGCGCTAAATGGAATCTACTCGTGCCAGTAGATTAGTGCTCTCATGTGACAAAATTTTGTGCGTGTAAACTTTGACTTTCGACGAAGGCTTCGTCCCCTATTGAACGAACGAGTTTCCCTGCCCCGATCTGCACAGACAGACGGGAGTTGTCGTCGATTTCCTGCCGCTGCACCAAGGCTTCGTCCCCTGCTGAACGAATGAGTTTTCCTGTCGATTAGACCGAGAGTCCCACGTGAGAGCAATCCAATCGTGTGACTCAATTTTCTACCACCCCCGCCTCCCTGTCATTTCATTTTACTCTCTTCTAGGCTTTCCCCTTGTTGTGTCATTCATCTCTGTCTCTCCATCAGACTCTGTTGAGTTGAGTGGTAAATGTGTATCCCCGCTCAACTATTCAAAGAAGAAGAAGGCCCATGATCCTCCAAACCCGTTCAAGTATTCAAATACATTCATGGATTCCCTGAACATCAAATGGCCATCTTTTCTATTTCATCCTATCAGAATTTGTTTCTCTGCACTGTATTTGAGATGATCTAGTAAAGTTCTGAATATCATCTTACTTATATTCATTGTACAGCCCGTCTGTTCAGAATTCACTCAATTGATGGCAGTCAACTGGTGTGAAACGATTGATAGCTTAGCTGGTAGATTGTAACTATCGTATATCACAATAACAACAATCTATTTCCTTCTAAAACATTCCATTGACATTTACATTTTAGCTTATGTTTGGTTCCAATATACCACATTTCTGGTTGTGATAAAGGATTAAAGGTATCTTCTTGTAGCTACAGATTAATCTAGCTTTGTTTTTTTTTTAATGCAAACAAATGAATATGCTTTTTAAATTATGTATTCTTAAATTCTGATTTCTATATACGAAGGTGCATTTTCTTTTCCTTTCTGGATATTAATCTTAGGTTTCTAAGATTCTTTGTGAGTGAATAGTGATAGAAGATACAACAACTTATAACTACTTTTCACCATGCCCTTTTTCTAGAAAATGATTTAATTGCAGGTGCTCCTCGGCTAGTTAATTTATTAATTACGAAATATTGGATAAAAGGATAATTATTAGGCATAAATTGCAGGAAAAAAAAATCTTATTTGAGATAAAACACCAAAGATGCATGGATTCCTTTGTGGAACACTAGTTGTATATTTAAAGCAAAGGAAGATATATAACTACTTAAATGGAATTCTATATGTGAGGCATTAAGTCTTGTATTAATTGTTCACCTACTGCAGAGATTAAATTATTCAATTCAATAAATGACTTTCTCCGAATAGAAAGCTAAGGTTATCTACTTCATTTGTTTTGCTGATCTCTTTCCTGTGCATAATCATAATCGTCACTCTTTTAATTTCTTCTTGAATCAACAGTTATACAAAGGATGCATCAGGATGATTGAGTCATCATCACCATCGCCAACTGACATGTCCAGGGAGAAACAAGTGGAGAATTGGAATAGAGGCCTAGAGGGCTGAAATGGGGTGGCCAGTTTGACAAGTTTCTTAATTAATTTCACCTCTGGCTCAGCTGGGTCCATTTCTGTAGGAATGTAGCCAAGCAGGTTAATCGTGGTGGTGGCCGTTGGAATTTCAATTCACGGCGAGAGTTAAGACATATGCATGACAGCATGAGAGAATAGCCGACTTTGTATTGTCAATGGTTGGATCAGAGATTCAGAGTTTGACAATGGATAATTCGCCGGTTAGGTGTCGTGTAATTCTTGGGCCATCATAGTAGAAAGTACAAACAGTGGAAGTTTTATTATTATTAGTCATAAATATGGTCTGTGTTTACATCTGGGTGGAAATAACTAGCTTGACAGTAGTTCGTATTAATTGCTATTAAGTCATTGATCGATCCATGTTGCTTCCTGATTTAATTTCCAAACATAAATCGAGTTTCCTTTGCCCTTTAAGTGAGAATTACATTAAGTACTGATTATTAATTTATTAATAAAAGATTATTCTTTTCATCAATTTGTATTATAATTTTACTCCCTAAATTAAACACCACATTTTAATATTTTTTGGTTTCTACTCTCTTTTGATTAATTCTGAAACTTCACCTTTTGTTACACCTAACTGTGATTAACATTAAAAAAGGGTTATAAATTTTAACAAGTAACACTGGATTAAAAAGCCAAACTTAAGGGGAGCGTTGAATTTGTACAAGTTGACAGGAATTCCACGACTTTGCATATATATAATGACAGAGACCCCTCATGGCCTCATGGTAATGCTGAGCTAAGGAACTTTGGGCGCATCTAGCCTCTTTTTTGCCTACGTTCAAACTTTTAGATTTACAACTTTTGAAACTCAATCAGAAAACTGCGATCGTCACTGACTCAATTATTCCAAACTCAGAGAAAAAATTATTGGAAACTAATTTATTAAGCTTTCGTAAATTAACAAGGTCCATTATTATATGATTCATGGATGGTGACTGCTTTCTTTTCTTGCTTTAGTCAATCTCTTCTCTTAGCCCTTTTTCATTTTATTAATCCTTGGCGTTATCATGTCTTGTCTTGATGATCAATCTGGTTTGTCACCTGTGCGTGAGCTGGTGACCACGATTATTAAAAAGTATAACTGCTGTTAGATACCCACCTTTAATTTCTTTTCCTATATATTTTCGGAATTACATAAATACTCTTACACTGTATATATATATATATATGCAAATGAAAACACTACTTCCAGGAGACAACGCCTTACGCTTCCTACTCGATCGGAACTTCTTCTTTTCTTCTGTGCACAGTCCCTCCGCTCTCTGCTCCAATCCTTAACTATCTGTGGCCATGCATGTTTTATCATCTTCCAAATTTCTCTGAAAATAGATTATGAGCACAGGAACTTCTATCTTT